TTAGTACAGATCAATATATAAACTTCCTTTCTAAATTTAAAAATAAATTCATTATTGGCGGCGATTTCAACGCTAAACATGTCCATTGGGGTTCGCGATTAACTATAACTAAGGGTCGAGAACTATTAAAAGCCATACAAGCCACAGGATGTGATGTCTTATCAACTGGAAGCCCAACATATTGGCCAACTGACCCAGCGAAAATACCGGATCTGATTGACTTTTTTATAACTAAAAAAATACCGAAAGAACTCTTACAAATAGAAAATGGATACGATCTCTCTTCTGATCATTCACCTGTGCACCTCTCTATTAATAAAAGTGTAGTCATAAATGAACCGAAGCTTTACCTAATAAATAGATCTACTGACTGGGATTACTTTAGGCTGCATCTTGAAAACACTCTTAATCTTAACTCTGATCTAAACTCAGCGACTGAAGTGGATAACGAAGTTCTTCTATTTACACAGCAGATTCAAAAATCAGCATGGATGAGTACTTCACAGTTCTCTAAACACCAGATCAGACCAACTCTTCCAAAAGAAATAAATAAACTAATATGGGAAAAAAGGAAATTGCGTAAAAAATGGCAACGAACACGATCACCAACTGATAAAACGGAATTAAATAGGAAAACTGCACAACTACGAAAACTTATCAATAATGTTAAAAACGATAAGATACAACAGAATCTTAGAAGCCTTTCCTATGAGAAACGCACAGATTACTCGCTGTGGAAAGCCGTGAAAGCAGTAAAACATCCTATAAAACATAATCCTCCTATTAAAGCAGATGGCACATCATGGGCCAAAAGTGACGAAGAAAAAGCAGATTTATTCGCAAAATTTCTTAAGGCAACATTTACACTAAATGATGATGGAAATAATCTTCTTACGTCTAATTTAAATCCATTAAACGAAGCAATACAACCAACTTCGCTAAGGGAAATAAAAAATGAAATAAAAAATATGAAACTAAAAAAGGCTCCTGGTTGGAATCAGATAACCGCTGAGATCTTAAACCAATTCCCTTACAAAGGAATAATCAAACTATGCAAAATAATTAATGCAGCTCTGCGCTTAAGATACTTTTCAATTTATTGGAAAGTGGCGGAAGTACTTATGGTACACAAACAAAGAAAACCTGCTAATGAAGTTTCGTCGTACCGTCCAATTTCTTTATTACCCGTTTCATGAAATATCTTTAAACGAATTCTCTTTAACAGAATACAGATTGTTCTCACAGAAAATCAAATAGTTCCGAGTCATCAGTTTGGGTTCCGAAAAAACCATTCTACTGTAGAACAAATACACAGAATATGCGACAAAATCGAAAGAGCACTTGAGGAACAAAAAATTTGCACTGCAGTATTCCTAGACGTATCGAAAGCCTTTGATAAAGTTTGGCACAAAGAACTAGTGCATAAGATTGAACAGTGGTTTTCGAGACAAATATCCGAAATTATGTGGTCCTACTTATCTTGCCGATTCTTCAGAGTGAAATATAAAGGTGCGTACTCATACTTGGCCCAATTCTGTACCTAATTTACACAGAAATAACACTTTCCCACCAGAAAGTGTTATTGCCACGTTTGCAGATGATACAGCGATCCTTACCACTGGAAACACCATACACGAATCAACAGAAGCAACGCAACATTCAATTGATCAAATTATTAGTTAGACTAAGAAATGGAAAATTGAGCTCAACCAAACGAAATCCGTCCATGTAAATTTCACAAACAAAAAAATTGACTATTTGCCTATAACTATGTGCAGTGCTCGAATACCATACTCAAACACAGCTAAATACCTTGGCATGAACTTAGATGCTAAGTTGAAATGAAAAGAACATATAAAGAAAAAACGAGTTGAACTAGAATCCAAATACAAAAATTTATATTGGCTTCTTGGGAAAAAATCACCCGTCTCTCTAAACAATAAATTAATGATATACATACAAGCAAGTCTTAGCTCCGGTGTGGACGTATGGAATCCAGTTATGGGGATGTGCACCAAAATCCACTATTCAAATCATTCAAAACTTTCAATACAAAGTCTTAAGAAACTTAGTCAACGCTCCGTGGTTTATTAGGAATACTGACCTCCATCGGGACTTGAAGATCGAATCTGTGGCTGCAGTAATTCAAAAGTTCGCGGTAAAGCACCAAAAACGATTACAACAGCATCCAAACGAGACAGTCAACCATCTGTCCAATACATCTGGCTTGCTGAGGAGACTTAAACGAACAAAGCCTTCAGATCTACTCCCGAATTAGTGGTCTAATAATAATTTAGATTACTACTATTAACACTAAGTCTTTGACAACTTGACAATTCTAATAAGTATTCTGAAATGTAACAAAACTGCTTGATAGTTCTTTGTATGAACTAGTCGTAGTCAAATGAAACATGTATTTATATTATTGTACATATTGTGTTTCAAATAATACAAAAAAAAAAAAAATCAATGACTCCCTTATTAAACCCTTCAGCTTGTCGCTTTACGATTTTGCATTTGTGGCGTTGCCAGCGAAATTTTACCCTTTTCTGGCATCGCTGACTCATCATCATCGCTTCGTAAGCAGGTCTGCTTGTCAATCGAGGTATGGAGGACCTGCTTAGCCCAGGCAATCTTGACATTCATAGATTTGGACATTGCATGGTTAAAATGTATCTAAAACCATTTGATAGTCGCAAAGGTCCTACTGTGTCTATTTCGACTGTTTCGAATGATGTATTTGGAGTAGCAGTTAATTGTAATTCTTCCTTTGTGTGCCTTATTTGTTTATTTCGTTGACATTTCTCGCAAGTAGTTATATATTTGTATACCATTTGTTTCATTTTACGCCATGTATATTTCTGTTTTAATCTTAATAAAGTTTTTCTTATTCCTTGGTGTCCACCGAGAGGAGTGTTGTGATATTCCTCTATAAGTCTGTATTGCTTCATGCTATCGGATATGTGTTCCGGGGCTTCATATAATAATATTTTGAGACGATTACCAGCTGGTTTATTTTGTTGTATTTGGTTAACCATTTTTTTAAAATTTTCTTTTTCATTAGTTTTGAATATTATATCATTTTCATCTAGCGCTAGTTCATAAATTCTTAAATTTTCAATGTCTGCAATGAGTTTCACCATCGAAATCGGCTTCGTAGGTTCTTCGCTCATTACCACGGTTACATCGTTTTTCGTAACGTGTATGGTACCTTTTTTAAATTGCTTTTTAAGCTTATCATTGTTTACAAATTGTAATCTATTCACTCTGCGTATATCACTAATGGATGTACAATTCCAACAATAGAGTTGATCCTGCTCAATTGGCTTTGTAACTCCTTTAATGTTATCCGTAGTTTGTGCAATTTTTGTTTTACTTCTTGTAGCTACGCATATCTTTTTCATATCTTCTTTCTTCAAATGTCTCAATAATTCGTCTTCATTTGGAAGGTCTAGCTTCCTAGTGGACTTGGCGTCATCTTGTTTTGGTATAAGATTTGTGAGTGTTTGTGTATCTATTTTTATGCGTGATAGTGCATCCGCATCGGTATTGATTTTTCCTTTCTTGTATATAATCCCAAAATCGTAGTCCGAAAGATCTACTCGAATTCTAGTCATCTTTGAAGATGGATTCTTATGTACAAATAATGAGATTAAAGGTCTATGGTCCGTAACAACATAGAATCTTTTTCCATATTAATGTTGTGATGTTTTAGGCTGTTACCAAATATTATGATGTCGTCAACGTATAAAAATGCTTCAGTTTCTAGACCTGTTAATGCTAATGTTAGCATTCTCTGGAAACTATTTGAAGAAATTTTTAAGCCAAATGGTAGTCTCTTGAACTCATAATGGCCATCATTTGTTGAAAATGCTGTTTTAGGTCTTGAATTGACATCTATGGGTATTTGGTGAAAAGAGCTGGTCATATCCAGAGTGGAAAAATATCTAGCTCTACCTAATTTATCTAACACATCCTCTAAGCGGGTCAAGGGAAACTTATCATTAACGATTTTCTCGTTAAGTTTTCTGAAATCTATTACTAAACGCCAATTTTTACTGTCGCTTGTTGATTTTTTAGGCACTAAAAGTATAGGTGAATTATATGGGCTTCTTGATGGTTGTATTATGTCATCTTCAAGTAATTTTTTTACTTGAGATTTGATGTCATCGTTATGGCAATGAGGTAACCTATAGTTTTTTATATAAGTTGGGATATTATCCACAGTTGAAATTTTTTCTGTATAGAAATTATTTGTAGAAAGTTGTTCTTCATCTAAATGAAAAATATGTTGGTATTTGGATATTATGGGCAATATCGTTCTAGTGTCGTCATCATCACTTAATTGTAGTTTATCTAAAATTTTGTGTAGTCTATTATTGTTAATATTTCTATTGTTCGTTTGCAAGATATTATAATACTGTAAGGGTTGTGACTTCAGCTGTAATTTATTTATAGTAACATTGTGATTATTAGTATTCACAATTCTTATGTGGCAATTGCCTTTCGCTGGCACAATTGTATTAGCCATGAAGACACCTTTACTGATTTCTTTGTTGAACAAAACAGTATCTTCATCAAAATGTACATCTACTGGTAAGACACGTTCCGTTCTAGCTTCAATAGTAATTGGTTTGCATACTATTGGGATTTCTGCTTGTTTATTGCCTGACTGTATCGTTAGAGTAAAAGAATAATAGTCGATGACTCCAAAATACCGTCTACCTCGATTGGAAAATCCTCTGTTACCACTGCGAAAGTTTGCGTTATCCATATTCCTTCGAAAAGTAAGCTTAATTTTGATGTTCCTAGGGATAGTACGTGTTCACTCGTTATACCTGTTAGTTTGTATGTGAAGTCAGAGTTATAGTCAACGTTAAGGTTTTTTATAATAGACACTTCGGCACCAGTATCTATTAATAATCTTATAATTATGTTTAATTCAGAACAGAAAATTGAAACATAGTTAGACAGGGTCTGGTTTAGAATTTTTACAGTATTTAATTTCGAACCAGTGGATGGTTCTCCAATTCCATCTCTGGTTGCTCGTAGTTTTCCTGAGCGTTAGTTATACGCACACGCCTATTTGGTATATTGCGATTATTTGATGCGCTTCCATTATTGTACCGGTTGTTGTTTGCACGGTTCGCGTTTGCATTGTAATTGCTTTGGTTTCTAGTATTTTGATATCTAAGGTTTCCATTCCAGTTTGAGTGTGTATTACTAATATTTCCGTTATTAAAATTTCCTTTATTTCCGTTATATCGATTACCATTAGTATGGTAATTCCTTCGATTTGAATTATTGTTACCGGGATGTCGGTAATTAGGAAATCTATTAAATGTTAAGTTATAGGCTAATAAATGTTGTTGCTGAGTAGGTATATCCATATTCTCTGCAAATAGCCTAGCCTTATTGAAGCTTGTCGGTTGTGCAGCTTGCACAGTTTGGAAATATAAATGGTTTAAACCTTTTTTGTACGCTAACAATGCGTTATCATCATTACATTGGACAATTGCTATACCCTCTGGTGAGCATTTGTCGTAGTTTCTCTTTAGCAACGACGCATTGTTGAGTTTTGATAAAATATCAGACATTTTATCACCATAGTCTTTTATATTTGAATTACCTTGTTTTGTGTCATTTAGTTTTTGTAAGAGTTTAGGGACTGTATCTTCTGATACAAAATTTTCTCTTAGATTATCAATGAGTTCTTTAATAGATTGTGGAAAACCAATGGGACTAACTCTAATACGTACGTTGTGCTGTAGTTTGCATTCAACTATGTATTCGATAAAATAGCTTTTATCTGCTTCCCGTAATTTATTGTAACTGTCTTTTAACCTAAATATGAATCCGTTTAGCTCAGACACTTTTCCAGTGAATATTGGAAGGTATTTTTCCAAAGCTTCAGTATTTAATGGTTGATTAGTCATTGTAGTATTTGGGGTAATTGTATTTGTATTATTAGTATTTGGTGTATTTGTATGGTCAACGTTGTTCTGGTTATTCATTTTGGATAGATAATTTTTTGCTGAATTGTATTTATCGACAAAAGTCTCTATCAAGGTGTTAATCTTTTCTATTTCTACTGTTTTGTATATAGCACTAACTTTACTATGAATATAGTCTAGACGCTTGATTTTTTCTGTTATAGTGGCTGTCGTATAGCCTCTATTTGATGATTTCTTTGCGTTTTTAAGGATTAAATGGACCTCACTAATACAATCAGTAACTAATGTTATTTCTGACATAAGAATGGACCAATAAAAAAATTTTACAACAACTATGATAGGAGAAAGAAGGGACAAAACAATTGGGGACAACAAAACAATGTTACAATATGACAATATAAACAATATAGATATTACATTTAATTGTTTTTTATTTGAATAGTAAATGATATATATATTGGTGGAATTCACATAAATAATTTATAATTAAATGATATATAAAATGGTGGAAAAAATTTTATTACATATTGGATAATATTAGTTTCATCTTTTTAGTTTTATCTTTTTTTTTTTTTGTTTTATATATATTGTATTAAATTTTTTTTTTAAAGATTGTATTTAAAAATAAATTTTGTTTTTGTAATCAATTTTTTGTTCGTCAATAAAATATAAAAATATATGAATTTCGGTTCTTATTTTATTCATTTAAACATTTTGTGAGACATTATGTTTATGTTTATGTACATATTGTTTAAAATACATATTTATTTTATAAGCTACGTACATAATTATATTTAAAACTACTACTGTAATTAATACCTGTGTATAATCTTGGCTGGATGATGACATCTGTTGATTGTTGCTGATGCTAGCCTTTATTTCCTGATTATTGTCACTAGAAAACCAACCCATTGTGTAGTGATTGTTGTTGATATGATGGTATTTGTATCCTGTATCCTGTTGGTATTTGTTTTCAAATGATGTGGTGATATTTATATCCAATTAATGTGATGGTATTTAATCAGTTTTTGCTTTGTGTTATTATTAAGTTTTCATCAAGTTAGTGGTTCAAGGTGACTACACTTATTTATTTTTAAAAGTTATTATGTTATTTAATTTTATTTTATTTAAATTTTTCATGTCTTCAATACATATATTTTAATTTTTATATTTTTCTTTTTGGTTTTGTTATTTCACGTTTAGTCACATTTAAGTGTTAACTATGTTTAATTATTTTATTTAAATAATAATTTATTTTTATACATTTTAGTATCACTTTTAAACACACTTCACTTTTAGTTTTTCGGTTCTTATACTGCGTTTACGCAGTGAGGCAGGATCGCCATGTGTTGAGATTTAGTTTTGTTCTACTTTCGTAATTAAAACACTTTGTTTACTTTGATATAACTTTACTATTATTTTAATTAATTAATCATGTTTGATATAACTTTATTTTTATTATAACTTTTTATCTTGTAACATTACTGTGAACTTTTATAGATCACGTTCTCTTGGCCACCATAAAACAACTGTCTTCTTAAACTTAACTTAAATCTTACAATAGCTTCTTTATTTATTTAGAAAGCTATATCTATCTTATTCTAACAATATTTACTTAAAACTAACAAAGTATTTCTTAACTTTAATTGGTTAGTCTTATTTTATTTATTTCCTATATATTATCGACACATTACCTAAGACAAGAAATGCATAGCAAGTATTTACTGTGCATTTGCTTGTCATGTGTCTCATATTCACATGTGTTCCGATTTGTGTGGTCTCAATATATTTGACACCACATGAGCTATTAACCGAATTTTAAGTGGCAAACAATTTATGTCAGAAGTATCGTTTTCTGACTCATGCCATAAATTATAAAAATGCAGCGGTTAGCTCTTTTAAATTAGAACACAAGTGGTTTAAAGAATACGACTGTAATAGTCATCAAAGGCGGCCTTAACATTGAGTAAGGTCAACCATAGATATACCATTACATAATAATGCCTTTTCCCACAACGACCTAGCTATGTGCGCTAACGTTCAACTTATCTGGGTTCCTGGTCATAGGGATATTGCGGGTAACTGTAGGGCGGATGAGCTTGCCAAGACTGGGGCTCTTCCCCCTAATATTTATTTATTAGAAATTGGTGTTGCACTTGCAACAGCTAAACTGGCAATTAAAGAAAAATAGCTAAGCATTGCTCAGCAACAATGGGCAAGTGAGCCCGGTTGTCACATTTCTAGGTCGATTTGGTCTAACTTGGATAAAAAGCGTACGAGTCAGCTGCTCCAACTAAAGAGAGATCTGCTCAGTACTACGGTATCGGTGCTGATGGGTCATTACTTAATAGGGAGGCATGCTATGAGAATCGGTCTTCCTTATAATAACCTTTGTCGCGGTTGTGGCTCTGAGGACGAGGAGTAAACTGTGTTCCATCTCATGTGTCAGTGCCCATCTTTAGCCAGAAGGAGATCAAAAATCTTGGGAACCTAGCTAGATTCGTAGAACTGTCGGGTTGGTTCTCTTCACCTAATGGGGGAGTCGGTGCCTCTCAAGTGGGCTTTCTTGGTAAACAAGGCCGCCACTCCAACCAACCAACCAATGCCTTTTGCCGCATTAAATTTAATAAAATAATAAATTTTTCCTTAATTAAAGTATACTACATTTTGCATGCGGCGAAAAATGTTTCAATTCCATTTTGGACTTACGCCGACGCTATATTCATGCACATGGCAAATGTATCGATGTGCTACACGAAAGCTTCGGTCGTTTGAGTATAAATAAGCGCGCACCATAGAAGAAAACTCACTTGTTGGGAATATATATATGGTGGGGCGTTGGGATAGTGCACTGTCCAACAAGTGGCCCCACTGAGTTGATGGATTAGTCGAAGTAGACCACGAAACTACTTGGGTCCTTTTTCGTCCTTCGATTCTCGGATGTTGTTGAGTTAAAGCTGGGGTGGCTTCCGTTCGCATCACTACATCTTTTGTTAATGCAGGCAGCGCATTTAGCTGGAGGTTTCCTGCCAAGTCATCACCAACCCAATGGTGTCCCAACACAGTCTTCTTCTTACTTGCCAGTGCTGGGCATTGGCACAATATATGCACCGCTGTCTCCCTTTTCTTCTAGACATAGTCTGCAAGTGTCTTCCTCAGCAAGAGTTATCTTTTTGAGGTGATACTTGAAGTTGCCATGTCCAGTAATTAGTGAGATCAGCCAGCTTAGAGTGCTCCGCGAATAGCTAAGCATTTTTATCGCTTTTATGGCTTTTGCATGCTTTTGATAACTGCTTGATTGTCCAGCGCTATCAGAATGTTTTTCTGATACACCTGACAATCCAATAGGTGATCTAGAGCATGTGAGACTGCCATAAGTTCCACCTGATAGACGGAAACATATATTCCTAGATGTAGAGTGCACGTTAGATTTAGCTCTTTCGAGTAAACCCCAGCACCAGCTCTGCCATCCATCAAGGAGCCATCGGTAAATATGCATATGTCATTCCTTTTACATTTATTATGTAGAAGGCCGTCTACTATTAGTGTTCTATAGGACACTTCTGTCCCATAAGCTCTCCTCATAGTCTCCAATGGCATCTGTGTTTCCTTGACCGCGGTCTGGACGAGGTCAAGAATTTTCCGATGGCCCACCAATTTTCCGAAGTTGTTCCACGTGGAGATCCGGTTCATGCGAATTGTTGCCAGTGCCGCCGTTTTCTTTATATGTAAATCCAACGAAAGCAGACCTAGCATCGCCTCTAACGTCGGTGTTGGTGTAGTGCGCAGAGCGCCTGTTATTCCAACACAGGCTAGTCGCTGGACCCCATCTAACTTTATTTTTATTGTCTTTTGGGTGGCTTTACACCACCAGACAACTGACGCATATGTTATAATAGATCTGACCATCATCGTATAGATCCAGTGCATCGACTTTGGGGATATCCCCCATCGTCTTCCGCACACTCTCTTACATTGAAATAGGGCTCTCTTTGCTTTTCTGATCTTTTCATTCACATGTTCATTCCAAGTCAGTTTATTATCTAGGATAACACCTAGATACTTCACCGACTTTGATATGCGAATGTTATTATCGAAATATTGTACGGGCTCCATTGACAGATTTCTCTTCCTCGTGAAGAGGATAGTGTCTGATTTCGTCGCATTGATGGCCAGGCCTTGTTCCCTACACCATTTTTCGACGCATTTGAGAGCACCTCTCATTACGTTTCTAATGGTGTCTGGGAACTTGCCGTTCACCATCAGTGCTATATCGTCCGCATACCCAATTGTTTGTATGCCTTTGAAGTCAAGCTGTTGAAGTAGAGAGTCTATGATCACATTCCACAGAAATGGTGAAAGCACCCCTCCCTGTAGGCAGCCTCTGATTGCTCTGCGTCTTAGTTTTTGTCTTCCATTTTGTAGGTTTACTGCTCTTTGCCTTACCATGAAATCTATCCATCCAATAATGAGTGAACCGACTTCTCGGTCAGCTAGAACAGATTTTAATTTATCAAAGCTTACTTTGTCAAAGTCTCCTTCGATGTCCATCATGATGGCCATCGAAATGCCTCCTGAAGTTAGCTCTCTCTCAGCTGTCCTCATGACCTAGTGCAGGGCAGTCTCTGTGGATCTCCCCCCCCCCTATAGGCATGTTGACATCTGCTTAAAGGATATTTTATTAGCGTGGTGCCTTCCAGATAGTCCACTATTACCTTTTCCATAGCTTTAAGCATGAAAGAGGTAAGGCTAACTGGCCTGAATGACTTTGCTTCAATGTAATCCTTCTTTCCTGGCTTTGGAGGAAAGGTCACCCTTGACTCTCTCCAAGCCATCGCAGGAGTGCTGGAAATATGCCATCTAACCCCGGTGACTTAAATGGAGCGAATGTCAAGATCGCATTCCTAACTGCATTTATGGTCACTATCCTTTCTGCTTCAAATCTTTCCTCTCTATTCATTCCCCTTTTGGGAGAAGGCCAGTGATCATCAAATTTGAAACTTCATGGAAAATGGATTTCCATGATAGTACTCAATGACTCTCCAACGGTCTCCGTCATTATACCATCCTTCTTTCAGATTAAACCAAGTCTTGAGACCGGGTCTTTGGTGACCATCTTTTGTAACCGACTAACTTCAGAAGTCCCCTTCATGCTCGAACAGAAATTTCGCCACGACTCTCGTTTCCGGTTGCGTAGTGCTTTCTTAAATTCACGCTTTTTGGCCTTGTACAGATCCCATGATACTGAGTTCTTCTCCCTCATGTATTTATTAAAGGCTTTCCTTGTCTCCTTTTTTATT